AAACTTTTTTTGGAACTCTAAAAGATTGCAATCAACACCTTGACCCAAGCACACTGGGTTCTGCCTAAAGTGATTCACACGGTTCACAGAACCAATTATTCACAGTCTTTCTGGTGGAGAGGCCTGTGGTTAACTGAGGAGTTTGGTCTATTAATGAAAGTCCACGTTCCTGTCCACTCAAAATTGTTTGGTAACTTTAAAAAAGCTTTATAAAAAATAATTTCATTTCCAAGATAGACAGAGGTGCATAATTTTGCATAAAAACAAAATGTAATGGTGTTCCTGACCTGTAGTAAACTGGCCCTTCATCTTCTGGAACACAGGGTCTTGAGCTGTGGCTTGAGCTCGACGAGCCAGGGACTCTGAGGCGGCGCTCGAGAACATTGTGGACACATTAGACACGTTCTCCAACCCGACTCCAAAAGTGCTCACCAGCTTCTTCACAAAGTTGAGCGTGTGTGGAGTGATCTTTGCATCAGACACTGCGCCACTTTTTTCAAATGCCACTGAGTAGCATTTGGCCAAACCCTGCTGGAGCTGCCGTAGAACCTGCCGAAGAAAGAAGCAAAACATGAGAAACTGCATGAAGGAAAACACCATTCAATCCAATGAACCATCTCAAGAAGATCAAGAACAAGTAAAGTTTATCAGCATTTGGAAACGAAAGCCCCTGTTTTAATTCAATGTGCTCTCCATTTCTTGCTAAACTTTCTTTTTCATTTGCTTTCTTGCTGTTTATCTCCAAGAGTCCCAAAAGAGCTGGGCTCTTGTGTCCAGTCTCAACGCATGAGCGCATCAGGTCTGTCATGGCAGTGCAATCTCCAACATTCAACCTGAACTCCTCTCACCCATCAATCACACAGAGTCTCTCGCCAAAGCCCGATTAGCACTGGAGCGCCAATGTCCACCTGCACTGAGAAACCACTTTTCAGCCTCACTGAGCCCCAGCCGTTCCCCTCTGTCAGCTTTCATCTGCTCTGAAAACAGCTACGTGTGCGAGAGTGTGGGGCGTGAGACTAAAGCAGGTAAGCAAAGCAGACAGAAAACGCATTCATGTCATGTTTAACTTGGGGTTCTGGGCTGATGTATTTTAAGAAGAAACCGGTTGCTTCTGGAATTCAGAAATTCTCTTTCAAGCACACAAAGGTGCTCACCTCCTCGTGCCAGTTCTCCCTGAACCAGACCATCTGATCAACGATTCCCTCCAGGGAGGAAAGGAGAGTGGGGTGGAGCTCCCGCTGCATGTGCATGATCCGACTGCAGCGCCACATGGGAGCGGTGGCCCTGATGGGTCCAGGGTCCGATGCTGAGTGGGTCTGGGTGGCAGCTGAAGTAGGCTGCTGCTGGCCAGAGTCTGAGGAACAAGGAGAGACATCATTAGCTTATTTTGAAGGACTAGTGCCAGATTGTAACAATCTGAAACATATGCAGTCATACCACTCTTGTAGCGCTCCCTTTGTTCAATTTTGAGGGTCAGGTACAAGGTTCGGATAGGGAAGTACACTGCTTGAGGGTAGACACGTCCCACCTGAGAGAAACAGTCACAATCACTTTTCAGATCATCCCTTTGGGCTCAGTGACAGAGCAGCTGATATGTTTTGAGACTTACTGTTGAAAATGAAACCAGGGAGATGGACAAATATCAAGGGCAGATTAAACTATGGCTCAATGTGACAATCACTAAAAGCCTGTCAAAACTGAACATTCATGTTCTCCTCCTCACAAATCTGAAGTGACCTTCAGAATCATCGCATTGAGATGAATTCATGCTGGCCCTTCTATGGAATGGTGATCTTTCAGGCTGTGCTGAACACTGCGCTAAGTTAATTAAACTAATAGATAATTAGTTTGACAATTAAATGTGAAAATGTACTTAGTTTTGTGTATGTATTTACTTTAAAAAGAAAAAGTAGAATCAAACACAGTTCAAACAAATCTTTAGATCACGTAGACATGGATTACACCACCTCCCATTAGTTATGTGCACAGGTTAGGAAAACACAAAGAAAACATGATGCTGTGAAAAGGTGCTTTTTTTATCTGATTAGGCTGTGAGGAATCAAAAAAAAATTTTCAACAATTCTACCATAGTAATTGTGCCGTGTAATGGTCATTACATTCACTGCAGTAGCCCAATCACAAAGACTGGGACAAAACTATCTTCATGTTGTTTCTGACTCAGGCCATGAACTCTCAAACATGGGTTTTTGTAAACAGTGTAAAAAAAAAAAAAAAACACCACAAAATGGCATAAACACCATATTAAACCTGTAGGCAGTTAATTAAAGCAATGAAGTCACATTGGCCAATCAGAAGCCGCCAAACATCAAGTTAATAACAAATGTGTCATTAACAGTAGCCATGTTTCCATCCACAGATGCAAATTAAATTGCACAAAACTGCAATATTGCATAAAATATTTGCAAATAAAACATTTTCATCTTAAGAGTCCAAGGAACCAAAATCGTCACTTCCCGATAAACTGGTGCCAATTGTCAAAAGAAAGAAAATGGAAGTTTTCTTAGAACACATAGACAAAATCCAATATGCTCAGTCATGTCATCAGGCTATGGAGGCGGGAGAATGCTCTTTGGGAATGCAGCCAGTCATGACAGTTCTGGGAGGTGATCATCCTGAACAACTTTGATGATAGACTTTGGTTAAGGAGTTTTAAAATGACCAAAACAACATTTCAGATTCAGAAATGTCTATAGAAATCAGTCGATTTGTTAGACCAATATAAAATAGCATTTTATAAACCTGCTACATGCGCATACTGGAATTTATTCTGTAAATGGATTTCCCATCGTAATTTATAGCGCACCTTGACGTTTCCATCCAGGATTTTTTTTATTCGTTATTACACAACGCGTATAAAATAGTCCCGCCCACTTTCCTGAACCTGTCTTTTTTAATGTAAAAAAATGGCATATCCATGTAAATTATCTAAAGTACATTTAGGTGAGTTTAAGAAATGCACTAGGGGCCTTGAGGAAGCCTCAGACTGAAAGCCGTTTAGAGTGGCCTACAGTGGAAATGTGACTACTGAGGGTGTGAATGTTGTCCGCATGGCTGCGAGGAAGAATGATGACAACTAAGCAACGTCAAACAGTGCCACTTTACAAACAGCCCTCGGCTCATCTCATGTCTCATAACACCCAGCTCTAGCAGCCCATTAGAGAGGAAAGACGATCTCCACCGAGCAGACGTTAAAAAGCAGGCTGGCCTTTAGCTGTAAAGAGACACCTTTGAGTCCAAATGGGCTTTTACTTGAAAACCAGCCTCTGTTAAGAGCTTGTTGAGTATCACATTAAAAATGAACAAGGCAAAAGAGGAAGTGATCAGCCCTAAAATCTGAGGAGTCATTCTGTAGTGTCTGCCTGTGGGGATTAGAGGGGTGTCTGTGTGCATAAAGGTGTTGCGTTTTCCAGGGTTTCATCTCATCTCATGGTAGAGCACAACTCACCTTCATGAATATTTCACAAAACGTTTTTAAAACATCCTGCCAACTGGAGCAATGCTAAATAATTCAGAGCTGGAGATAAAGGTGCCCCATCCGCTGGATATTTCAACTCAGAATCAAGAGTTTTACAAAACCTCCACCTTTCCATGTCATTGCTACCTCAGATCAAACCAAAAGCTCCTTCAAGAAGAAGACCAGTCATTCCCAAAGCACCTCTGACAACTCCATTAATTGAGACGATGGTGTTGGAACGTATAATTTCACTAGGTGCTTATCAGAGACTCAAGAGTACTTAATCTCTTCCACTGCATGGGTGCGTCAGCGCTGAAATGGAGCGATTAGAAGTTGCTGGTATGGCATGTGTATGTGAGAAAAGAAGTGGTCGAGCTGAATGCTAAACCTGTTTGGACTGAAAGAGAAGAGGGATTGTGCCATTTCTTGATGTGGGTTAAGAACTCAGATCTCTCTTCTGTGTCTGCTTCTTTCCTCCCTTTCTCATTGGGCCCCCGGAGCCACTGTTTCCTCTTTGAAGATCAGGAGCTCTTTAAATTGCTTGGAAATAATACTCCATCAAGGAGGACAAATTAGTCTCTTGTTTAATTGGCGAGTCTGTTCCCACAGCGAGAAAGTCTGTGATATCGACTTTTCCCCTTCTAATAATAAAAAAAGGAATCACTGACTTCTATTGAAACAGGAAAAAAATTAAGAGTTGTGGGAATAAATATCTAATGTTAGATGCATCACAATTGAGCCCTGGATAAGATGGGGGTGGGAATGCAGCCTTAACTTTTAGTGTTTTGTCACCTGGGGGTCACCAGAAGCACATTAGCTTATTCACACTTTAGAAGTAGTTTTAGAGTGTATTTTGGATTAAACAGCTACATCTCGTGCAAATTGAGTCACACTACAATAAAATGTAGCAAGAAAACAAACGACACATGCCGTTTTCTATTCTGAGGCATTTTTTGAAGGCTACCAAAAGATTCCCACCTCAAAAATTATTTGACAGATGCATCAAGCGAGCACATGCTGGGAGGAAAAATAACATTAGAGTCAAACCTGGCTGATGAGGTTGAGAAGAGGTTTTCCCTCCGATCCCACTAGACACGTGAGGAGCTGAGGGATCCAGGCCAACCACTGGATGGGCGGAACTCCAATGCAGTATTTGTCCACTGCGTCGGCCAAGGTGTTCTTATCATCAAAACTCAACAGCCACAGCACCTGGAGACATTTTCAAAGATACGTTCAACTTTTTACATTTTATTCCCTTGGGGCTTTAAAGTAAAATATGATTTAAATATAGGCCGTACATTAAGGATCATTATTCATCATAGGAGTATGGTTGTAAAAAAAAGATCTTACATTTACAAACATTATAATCAGTTGAATTAACACATTATTATTTATATTAAATGCATATTAGTGATACCTCTAATTCCTTTTTTTTACATATACATTTATGCATTTGGCAGACACTTTTATTCAGCGACTTACATTTGCTTGAGTGCAGAATAATTTTTTTTTATTTGTCAGTTCTTGGTTTCTCTGGGATTCATACCCACAACCTTTGCGTTTTTAGCACAATGCTCAACCAACTGGGCCACATGAAAGCCTATTTTGTATTTAATGCTTTCTATTTGGTCCACTTTTGAGCTGAAGATTCAGTTGGGAAAATAACTTGTTTCAGCATTTAAGACTATAACGCGATACACACATCACTTTCACATTTAAACTCAAAACATATGTTGCTCCATCTTAGAGCTATGTTACACACTGCATGGAAGACCATTTTTAAAAAATGATGACATAGGCTCTTTAAAAAAAAATCACATCACAAACTTTAAATAAGCATTTTGATGTGAAGACAAATACTTTAAACACATTCTCATTAACATAAAACATATTCTTTCATGAATTGCTGACATTTTAGTCATGTTAAGTAACTTTATTTTTTCTTTTGGAAGCTAGAAACTTAGTACAAGTGGCTAATGCTAGCGCAGTAAGACTCCTAAAATCTGAAGGAAAAAAAAAAAGTTTACGGATAAAACAAACATCTCTGTGCTGTTAACCTTTAATGGTAAACATCTTTGAACAAATCAACACTGTTAAACGTTTGATGCTTTATGTCGATGTTGAATCCCAGCAGCAATTTCACCACTGAGTAGCACTTTTTGCTGGGGCTCATAGAGGCACAAAGTGTGTAGTCTTTACCAGGGAGCAGACTAGCATGTGTATAGTATCTATATAAAGCCCATCATCAGGTCTAATAATATAATTACATCCATCATAGGTGGTTCATCAGTCTGAATGCAGTGCCCCCACACCCCCAGGCTGCTGCATTAATTCAAAAGGAGTGCATGGTGACCGATATGCCCCCATTTAAAAAAGCCATCAGAGCAGAATGGTTTACTGGATCACAAATGAGGACAGAGTTCATGTGTGTGCTATGGTAAATGGCTGTAATGGTTAAACTAATTACACGCCTGTCTAAAATAAGATGCTATCCAATTATGACGCACTCTCTGCACATCTAAAAAAACCCTTTCCCCATGTTTTGGACAGGAAAATTACTGAGTGCATGTTGCCAAAGTGATATAGCATTGATCACAACACGCGTCATGGCTAGTCAACTGTTAGAATTGCTTATTCATGGACTGGGGTATTGAGGCAAATTTTTAAACATAAAAAAACAACATATTTTGCTAAATAACATACAATAAAGAGAATGCTTACCTAGGATAAATTAATTTATTCTATTTTCTAACAGTTGTTGCTTCTCATCAAGAATTTTTATTACCATCCTGATTTCTACAGTTTTGTTCCTGGTGTCCTTACAGAGTTAAGAGTGGAGAAGTTTCAGTATGATTGGTTGAGTGTATGGACGGGTGTCTGGTAAATTTATTCAGAGCAAATAGGTAAATAAATTCAGGTAATGAGAGAAGATTATGGGGTTGTTGGATGATCTGTGAAAATATTTTTAAATGCAATAAATTAAATGCAATTAAATCATACAATGGGACTTTCTGGATTGACTGTCAGTCAAGAAAAATGTACAGATGTCAAAATACTGGAAAGCTCAAAGATCTGTTGTGACATCCTAGTATTATCCAACACAACGGATGTGATTAGCACAATATCATAGATGAAAGAAAGCAGTCCAAAAGTTGAGTATAAAGAGCTCACCTTGGCCAGATATTTTCTAGACTTGCTCTCGTTCTGATGGCGACAAGCATGTAGGTAACAGGTAATGGCAGAAACACCGAGGTGAGGCTGGCGGTCTTTGACAAAGATGTTCTCCAAGTAGTCTCCCCACATGGCCCAGGCTTTAACCAGAACATCATGCATCTGAACCGCAGCAGAAAATGCTTTATTTGCCTCTTCTGACCTAGTAGACAAGATAACAACTCAATTAATCACAGATACAGTGAATGTGATGAAAACAATCAAAACGAAATCCATCCACTTGTACAAATTTTATAATACAAAAAGGTTAACTCCAATGATCCAGTATTCTAGTAAATATAAAGTTTATTTGATTTGAGTTTATTTTTTAGAATGAATTTACGTCCTTATCTGAGCTTAAAGCTTTGGTTCTTACACACACTACCTCCAAATGATTCACCGCGACACACCTACTAAACCCATCATGTATAATAGGAACTTTTAATGAGTATGTAGTAAGCAACAGAACTCCACTTGATTGGAATGGGAGTCTGGGGATGCCAAATCCTCTGAAGCGTCTCGTCAGCTTCAGACAAATATAATATGTTCCTGCTGTGGAGAATGGAGTCTGGAGAACCCCAAAGTCCTCACACCCAGTCAAGTGTCAAAACTCTTCCTCCAACTGCTCCGCTGCTTTATAAAATCCCAACGTTAATATTCATAGCAAGGGAAACTGTAATGATTACATTAGGCCTTGCTGAGGCTGGGGGAAACTTCTGCTGATCACAGAGATTTCATAAATTGCTATTGAGTTAATTATTCAGCATGTGTATTTAATAAGCTACTCAGGACTTCTAGCTCTTCATGAATTCATCCATGATGAGGATAATAGCTGGGAAGTGACAAAAGAAAGAAAGCCCTTTCTAAAATATAATGTTTAAATGAGTGTGTTCTGTAGCTGCATTTTCCTCCTAATGCCTAGATTAACACTACTGCTATTACTTGCAAAAGATAAGCAACTCTGAACTGGTAAAAAGAGATACAACATTTCTGATTTTCTTGGGTAATAAAACAGAAGAAGAACTTGTTTACATAGACAAAGATACCATCCATCCATCTTTTAGAAGGTGTCAGAACCCACATGCAGATATTGGATATTGGAGTTCATTGCTCTGTGTTTGGTTTATTGGACTTATTTTGCAGAAAAAAAACAACAGCCGTTTAACGAAACAAACCAGGACAAACCAGGTCTGCATTTCACGGCAAGAATTGTGTATTTTTATCGTGGGCTTTTCAACACAATACACTTTTTTTAAATGTTGTTTATCGTGTTTTGGAACGCAACTCCTCATATAAAAATATTGTAAATACACAATCAGTTAAGTCTATATCGGTACAAACACACTTACATTTTTGTATTGGTACAACAACACCTACAAACATTTCTACCACTAAAAGCCTCTTTAAGCCATTATTTTCTGGTGTGGTCAGAGAGAAGAAATGGTTAATGGCTTTTAAGTCAAAAAAGAGGAAAGTGACTGGTTAAAGACCAACAAGCAGGTCTGTAAACCGAGATAATTGCTCCTTATTAGCTCACTGCAGACAGCCAAGAGGAGGTCAATCACTCGTCGTACTCTCATATTGACTGTTAACGACTCGTCTGACCTCATTATTGGCCTAAAGTTTCAGAAGCAGTGATTGGTTGCACAGACAAATACACATGTTGATCCTTCCCGTCAATAACGCTTTAAAGTCAAATAATTGATTTTAAAAACTGTTTTATCGTATTGATTTAGCCATTTTTTTACTGTGATATGAGCAAAAGAAAAGGTATTGACAGGGGGTTGGTTAAAATCAAAAAGCATGTGAATAAGGATTATAATGCGAGCAGCAAAATGAAACAAGCCAAGAATCGACTCTTACTTATTGATCTGGGCTAAGAACATGCCCTTGAGAGCGTAGAACTCCGCAGTCATCTCTTTCGTGAAATACTTCAGGTTAGTCGACTCAATCACCTCCAGACCCTAAAATACAAAATATTTCACAGATTTTTTTCATGTTCATGTGGGTTTTCATCTCTCAGATACTATGGCCTTTGCCTGTCATCCTCAGCCTGCGTATCACTTTCTGGGCTGAATTTCTGTACATCTAAAGTCAACACTGAACACAGAGTAAATGTGCTGTGGACATCTCTGCAGCTCAATCCGAGACTGTGCCAGAGAAATGATAAAGGGAGCAAAGCGGGTCCAAGTGAAAGCTGAGAGAGGGAGACTTATTAAATCCAACGGTGCTTTAATGACTTGAGCTCAGTCGAGGAAGCTCCATTAATCAGGCTTAAGTGAATGCTGCAGCTAACAGCCCATTCCTTATACTGGTTGGAATGCATTCTTTAGTGGGACAGCACTGCATTCACTCACACTGTAATGAGAGCAGGACTATATGGATTAGGAGCAAAATCTGGAAAAAAACTCGACAGGGAGAACTAGATATGCTATACATAAAGAGACTCTTGACAGCATTTACCTGCATGCATTCATTCTTTCCCATGACTCCAGCCAGCTGCAGATAGCATTTCACCTGCTGGCGTATCTTCTGGAAGCAGTCTACAATAGGCACCGTAGGGATGGTATGGATGCGACTAAGAATGTCCAAAGCCACATTGACCAGGCCTTGCTTCCGTCCAATCTTGCCATATTGAATAATGGCGGATGCGGAGGCGTGCACCCCAAGCATGGCGTTGTTGGTGTTTGGGTCATGTTGAGTGTTGGTTTCATAAGCAGTCACAATGGCTGCAGAAACATTGGAATTTGAAATGTTGAACAAAACAAATGGTTCATATCTCATCGCTCCATGCCTAGCCATACCTTGATAGTGGTGCTGCCGCCACATGAAGATGCTGCTCCAATGAGAGAGGTCATCAGAGACGATCGGCAACCTGTTTCTCCATGTCTTTACCACAGTTTTCATGTCATGGAGGCTGGTATTACGACCCAAGTTAGTAGGCTGGAGGCCTGCATTTATCTGAGCTGCTTCTTGAAGTTCTATGATCTGCTGAGCAGCCTGGAAGAAAAACATGAAGAAAAATATTGATTAGAAACATGATCATTTGAACATGGAAAAAAAATAGTTAAATTTTTTGGATCTCAGCATTATTTGCGTGACTGGTTAATAAATGTAATAATTAATTTATTAAAACAAGGTGAATGAAAAGGAAAAAAAAGTATGGGCACATTAACCTGAATGCCAATATGCGATTTTCTGAGATTTTTATGTGTTTAATATTATTTAAAACAAAATTATTGCCTGCTACATAATTTCTTGCTTTTATTCGTCATTTCTGACAAATTTGAAAATACATTTTACCAAATGTGACTTTTTTTTCTGTACCAATCCATTTCATTGGAACTCTTAATTATTCATGAGTCTGAGTTAGGGCTGCACGATTTGGGA